GAGAGTGAGATCGATCAGTTGATCTTGCGATAAGAGAGAGTCGATTGGTGCAGATGCAAAACCAGAGAGTGAAAGACTGATGAGATGAGAGAGTGATGAAGACAGATCAGAGAGAGTGAGAAATCTGATATGTCGGGAAAAAAAAATCAAAGATCGGGGAGAGACAGACAGACAGAGACTGAGACTGAGATAGGGGCTTACCTGTGAGGTCGATCGGTGCGATGAGGTCAATCGGTCAAGAGGCCGATCTTGCGACGAGAGAGAGTCAATCGATGCAGTGTAGATGAAAAATGCAAAAGTGGGAGTGAAAGTGAGAGACAGACTGATGAGATATGAGAGAGTGAGTTCGTGTTTTTTTTTAGAGTTTGAGAGATAGATAGATTATAGATTTGGGGTTTTTTTTGAATGGTCAGATTCAAAGGGAAAAAAAAAGAAAAAAGAAAAAAGAAATAAGAAAGAGTTTTATGCGGCCGAGTTGGGCGGGTGCGGTTCAAACCCACAACTCGAAAATTTGATAAAATCCAAACCGCACCCTACCCTTATGTGTTTGCGAAACCGCCTATACGTGCGTGGTTTGGATCAGGTAGGACGATTTGGGCCGGTCGGATGACCCTATGCCTAGCCTTAGTTGTCACCCATTGTTGAGGATTTGAGTAATGTGTGCAAAGTGTACAAACCAGAACATGCCACTATTGTGTCACATGGTGGTTATTCAAGTGTGTCATGTCAATGGAATCTATTTTTTGTGCTCTTTGTTTATTTATTTAAATTTCTGTATTAATTTATTTATTTAGTTGTTTGTGGTCTATTTATTTATTTAATTATTTTTCACTTATTTATTTATTTAGGTAGTTATTTTTTTTCTCGAATTATTTAGTTAAAAACATATATTTCTTTTTTTAATTATTTATTTATTAATTTCTTGTAGTATTTATTTATCTATTTACATCTGTGTATATATTTATGTAGTTTTTTTTTTAATTTTTGGTTCAATTTATTTACTTATTTATATTTCTGTAATTGTATTAGTATATTTATTAATCATTCGCGGTCATTGTTTTTTTTTTAATTTTTGGTTCAATTTATTTACTTATTTATATTTCTGTAATTGTATTAGTATATTTATTAATCATTCGCGGTCATTGTTTATTTATATTTCTATAATTGTATTCATGGTCATTGTTTATTTACATTTATGTATTTATTTATTGCTATATTTATTTTTTGTTGTATTTATTTATAATTCCATATTTATTTACTAATTAATTTTTTTGATTTATTTATTTAGATTTCTGAAATATTGAATTATTTACAAAATATCTGGTGCAATATTTATGTAATTATTTGTGTCTCACGTGAAACTGAAACAAATGAAATTGTTGCTTAATTATATTGATGCATCAGACTAGAATCTTGTATCCACTTTCAGCATGTATTACCATTCACATGGTATTGTCACTTATTTGATCTTCATGCATCACATGGCCACAGTAGTATATGTGGTACTTGAGCTTGTCAAACAAGTGCTATATATGATGGAGTTGATGGTATGTTCGTATGGAAACTATAGCTTGGTGGCACATAATCAATTGAGTTGGATTTATTTTCCAAATTTCCTTTATGTGGAACAAGTGCTGTATTTTTTCTTCACTTCACAGTAACATAACCCCGCTGAAAGGTTGGTACGTGCCTGATAAAAATATGTATTCACATCTTTCTATTAATGTGTTTATTGGAACACAATTTCGGGCAAACGAATGTTGGGAATTGCACAAAGTGTATTTACATTTTGTAATTTATTTTTCTATGGTTTGCAGTGTTCATGGATCCGCAATAGGGTACTAGCTCCGGAGTCGTACGCAATGGCCAAATAAATGTGTGGATACGAGAGGCGATCGGAGAAATAGAATCGACGACATCAATGATATGGATAGAAATTGCACCCATTGCCAATGAGTACGCCGGAGAAATAGAATCGACGACATCAATGATATGGATAGAAATTGCACCCATTGCCAATGAGTACGCGTATGTTGACAGGTAGGGATGTAATAACGGCTCGGCCCGGCCCGGCCCATCCGGGTCTGGGCTCAGGCTGGCCCAAGCGGGTTTCACAAGCTCCCACCTTTTTAGTGAGTCGGGTCGGGCTGGCCCGGGCTCAGGCTGGCCCAAGCGGGTTTCACAAGCTCCCACCTTTTTAGTGAGTCGGGTTAGGCTGGCCCATGGGCCAAAATGTGGAGCCCAGCCCACTTATAATAAGGCTTGGGCTCAGGCCAAACCTAGTCGGGCTTTTTTATTTTTATTTTATTATTATATTAGGAATAAAAAATCAAAAATAATTATACTAGAGTATTTTAGTTAAGATTAATGAGATGTTTTGTTTGGTTATGTAATATTTCATGGTGATATTTAAATTTAATTATGTATGATTTATGATTTTTTAATTATGAACTTATAACTAAAAAAGTATGCAATTATGTAATTTTTTTTTTCTTTCGAAATGAATAATTTTATATATATGAAAATGAAACATTCAATATTACAATATTACTTTATTTATATAACATTTATTGAATGAATAATTTTTATTTCAAAATGAAATAAAATATTACAAAAATTGATGTTATTAAATAAACTAGGTGTAGATTACTAATGATGGTAGAGCAATTACATCACTATAGGTCAAGTACATCCCAACTAGGTTGGCACCTACCAGCCTACCAATCATTTGCATTATAATCCACCTCAATAGTCTAATGTAATAAAAAATAAAAAAAAAATGAAATGAAATGAAATAGTAAAAAATAAATTGTTGATCAATTATCGGAGGAGACTGACATTTCAGTCGTATTGTCCGAGGATATGTCATCTAAATCATTTTGAATTCGTTCATTTTCACTATAATTTTGTCTTCTTATAAGCGCATGCATATGATCTCTGGATATCATTAGTGCTTCAACCATTTCGGGTGAAAGCCTGCTCTTGTAATCGCTTACCACCCACCCGTCCACCTGCACTAAAAGCTGTTTCTGAAGCAACTGTAGAAATAGTAACGGTTAGTATATCACGGGCCATATGTGAAACCACAGGCCACATAGTTTTATTTTGTTTCCATCATTCCAAAATGTCAAAATCAGTGGAATCATTCACTGACGGGCTTTTCAAATAACGTTGTAGTTCAGAACTATTTACACTTGTATGTTGAGATATTATTCTACCTTTTATTGCTGAAAAAACACTTAATCTCCCGCCTCGAGATGAGACTGCTAGTCTAGTGTGTATAGGTATATTTACAGATGCAGCTGCCTTGTATTCTTCAAATAATTTGTTGCATATTTGCATAATAGGGGCAAATTGTGTTTGATTAGCGAAAATATGTTTTAAAAATTCTTGTAAACCAATTTCTTTACACCTTGGATCAATTATTATGGCTAAACCTAATAGATGAGGCAAATGATCAAAATATTTATCAAATTTTTCTTTCATTGAAGTAATAATGGCTATATAATATTCATTACTCATATATTTCTTGAAAACTTTAATTATTTCTACTAGCATATGTAAAACAAATGGTGAAGTAGGAATATATATAAAAAAATAATTTTGTTAAAGTATCAAAATTTTTTAAAAAATCTTTATACAAGGTTACTTGAAACCAATTAAATTCAGTGGGAGTCAGTACTTCTCCTATTGATATTGTTGCAAAAAATAAATCTATTGCTCTTCTTTGTTTACAAGCTGTTTTTAACATATTATACGTTGAATTCCACCTACTATCTACATCTAAAATTAATTTTTTAAATGGCATATTTTCTCGTTGACAAATTTTTCTATATTCCAAAATTCGATTACCAGAAGACATAATAGTAACAACTGCATTTTTTATTACAAGTACAGAAGTTTCGTATACATGCATAACTTCTTTAACAATCAAATTGAAAATATAGGCACAACAACAAACATGAAAAATATCACCATCAACAAGTAATTGTAAAATTGATTTTAAATGGGCTACAGTTTGATTATAATATGATGCATTATCTAAACTAATCGTAAACATTTTATTTTGTAATGCCCACTCGTATAATATATTTCTTATTTCTACACCAAGTGAATGACTAGCATATGGAAGTTCAACTAATTTAAATGAAATAATTCTTTTATTTAATTTTCAATCATTATCAATAAAATGAGCAGTGATACATTGATATTCAAAACCATTATTTGACCACAGATCAGATGTTAAACAAACTCTTCTATTCAAAATTTTAAAAATGTCAAATAATTTACTTTTAACATCCTCAAATAATTTCTTTAAATAACTTTGATATTGTGGTGCAAAACTTTCATGAATCATTTCGGTAAAATCAGGACATTCACTAGTAGTAAAATGTTGTTCTTTTTTAATAATATAATCAACTACAGAATTTTGTGCACGTATAGGATCATATGAAAATGTTGATGAAGCCCCTAATTGTATTTGACTTCACTACAGGAAATGACACTTTTGGTGACTAAACAATTTTTAGTCGCCAAAAGTGGTGAAATTAGTGACCAAATATTTTATTAGTTGGCAAAAATGAAAAGATTTAGCTACTACAGTTTTTTAGTCGGTGTATATTGCTTATCAGCAACTAACATAAATTTAGTCGCTAATAACGACACAATTGGCTACTAAATTATTATTCAGTCGCTAATTATTGAACAATTGCCGACGAAAACATTTTTTGGTCACCAAATAATATAGCTATTAAATTTTTTAATTGAGAAATATAGCTTATTGGCGACCAAACAATATTTTTGTTGCTAATATTCCATCATAGGCTACTAAAAAACGTTTAGTCGCCGATAGTATATATTTTAGGCTACTAAATTGTTTTTTAGTCTGTGTCATATACCTTTTGCCGACAAAATAATCTTTAGTCGCCAATTGGCAGCAGATCATATTCAAGAAGACATTAAACGACCACACAAGTTTGATTGCCAATGATTCTGTTTTGGTGAATAACAAAAACATTAGTCGCTAAAGCTCTAAATGTTTTAGATTTATTTTCGCGCCTATCTCACACATTTGGCCTCTTTTTGTATACACACAGCTACAGAACATCTCTTGCCCTGTCATTCCACAGTGCAAATCACCAGCAAACCTCACGATCTCGCAACCTCAGCATCGTCGTTCCCCGTACGCCGCAAATCACCACAGCCACCGCTACTAACAGGTTCGCTCCTTTTCGCTCTCTTTTCTGTCGCTCTCTGTCTCGGTCTCACTCTCTCTCTCTCTCTCTCTCTCTCTCTCTCTCTCTCTTTACCCCTTCTTCTATTTCCCCAACTGTGAACTCTTGCTCTGGGGTTTTTATTCTATCCATTTTGGTTAATTTTTTCTTAATTTCTGAAATGGATTTGTTTGAAGTGGTTTTGTTACTAGAGTTTTGTGGGTTTGATGTTGTAAATGGGTTTGATTTTAGGGTCTGATACCTTTCCCCCCTATTTTTCCTTTCTCTCTCATTAGTTTCAAAGCCCTAATCCATTGATTGTCTATCTAATCTCATGTATTCTAATTATTTTCATTGAAATTTTCTCTCTCATGTATTCTACTCATCATTATTTATGTAAATCTGTGTATGAAATTTACATACACAGATTATCTGATCTGTGTATGTATTCTGAGATTGAGATTATGTGTGTATATATTTTGAGATTGAGTTTACATTTAAACTAAAGATGGGGTTTATAGTTAAACTGTAAACTGAATCTTCAGTTTATAGATTGGGTTTACACTAAGCCTAGCAACATATGAATGAGTTTACATTTAAATGGATTAAATTGAATAGGTAATCTGTGATTGGGTAATCAGTTTAGATGTAGTGGTGAAGATTCAGTTTAAATTTAATTAATATGTATTCTAAGATTGGGTAATCTAAACTGATACATATACAGATAATTTGTGTATGTATTCTCATCAATTTAAATATAATCTCAATCAGATTATCTATGTATTCTCTGTGTATTCTCATTAATTTAAATTTTGTTTATGTATTCTCGCTCCGTTGCCTCAATCTGCTGCTTTGTCTGCCTCCTTGCCTCCTCAGCATACTCATTTTCTGCCATGACAATGGCAATGTCGGATTCAGAATAAGATTCTATCAAGAGTTGCAATTTGGTGGAAGAATGACTACTTTCATTTGATTTTGCCTTTTGGGCTGAGCTTGGATAGACTTCGAACCCACCCAAGTTGTAGCTCTACTATGGTGTGATCTTGGTTATATATCCTGATACATTGTAATCTTTTAAACCATGAACATCCAGTTACCTAGCTTTTTGTAAATCAACCTATCTAATTTTTGCACAGCAGATATAAGGATAAATCTTTTCAACTTTTGATACATTAATTTTTTGTCTTCAAAGCCGTATCACCTGTAGATATAGGTTACCGTCTGACATCAAGTAAGGAGATTAGTCTTTTGAACATTGTAGTCAAAACTTTTGAACTTCATTTTGGTTCTTCAGCTGTAATGGGTATTTGAGGTACTTCTCCAATTCTTCAATTCTTTAAATTAATTATGAATAGAGTAGTTTAATGGTTGTCAATAATCCTTTGGTCACAGTTGTATATATCCATTTAGATCTCCATGTATTAGTTTGAATACATCATGGTTAATGTAAAAGAAATCAAATAAACTGCTAATGTTTTTTGTTGCAAATAATATCAGAGCTTTCTTGGTGGAAAATGTACGAACGATACTCTCATAAGTTTGTGGAAGAGAAACAAAATGTGTAGGAATATTGTTCTCAATACACAGGAGCTACTATTAGACACCATTTTGAACCAATTGCCTCCGGTCTCATAGAAACCAAAGAAATTGAACAAAATCAACTTGCCTGGAGCACCTAGTTCCCTTTATTATTCTATAATCTATTAATTAGAGACTAGTTGAAAGAATGTCCATCATCTCATTCACCCGTTATTGTTTCTGTGCTCACCACAAATACCGAGTCCCCATCCATATTGTTAATTGAAAAACCGTAAACACCATCAATCATTAGTACAGCTTTCACTAATGTCATTTGTACTACTGCTACTCCCTCAACCAATTTCATTACTGAGGCTTTGATTTCTCACTGGTGTCCTAAATCCAGTGCCAAAGCATGACTTCAGCTGCCACTGGCTTGCTGAAATCTTTAAGCAATACTGTTGTTAGGAGGTTTCAAGGGGAAGCCCAGGGCTTGTACCTACCCTGCTTATTCTACACTCAAATCTATTTTAATTGCAATGTCTACATGTGCTTACTGATGACAATAAGTGTTTATACACACACTAATGCAGAATTTTGGTTGACAACTCAGCTTTGGTTGATTGCTCCAACCTTTGTAATCTGACCTTTCTTGTCCAAGTTAAAATTACTCTTTGATGCTTGACGTATTGTTTTCTATGTTGTACATGCAGACTAAGCCAACCAGATATGTCTCAATCTCTCTTCTGGATCAAGCTATCTGTAGACTCACTTGAATTGTCTATTTTTCTTTTTCTTTTTTTCTTTAAAGGTCTAGAATTGTATATTCGTTTATTGCATCTTTCATATTTTGCTTGAGTGGAAAGTAATGCTGTGAACTACTCCATATATGTGTGGTTAATTTATTTATTTTCTTAAAGAAAAGCCAAAAATCTTGATTTCTTCTTCTTTTGATTTATACACAACTAGGCAAAACATTCCATTGTCAACTGTTTGTAATATGTATATATATATATATATATAATTTTTAAACTTGGCCTGACATTAACCATTAAGGAACAGGTCCCATTAGTCATTGTTTCGACTGGTATGTGAACTAGTTGAACCATTATATGCAGAAAATTATTGTAAATTTCAAGAAACATATGAACCTTAGATAAACATAAGGTCAAAAGAATTTGTGACAACCAAATGTGGTTGTGTGCCTAGATAAACATGTCATTTCATTTTCACTCAAACTTATCTATTTACTTTGATAATTTTCTTTAACTTACCTAAACTTAGTCGAAAAAGGATGTTCGAGGGCGAAAATTCAAAACAGCCCCTGAACCACCGTGTGGCCCTCACAGAAAGCTTCCCCTTGACAAATAGAACTTGTGACAACTGATGGAACATAATTCAGACCCGTAAGTTGGGAGTTAGAGCCGAATACACCCTAAACTTAGTCGAAAAAGGGCATTTCGGAGGTGAAAATTCAAAACAACCCCCGAACCGCCATGTGGCTCTCACAGATAGTTTTCCCGTGACAAATAGGACTTGTGACAACTGATGAAATGTAATTCGGACCCTTAGGTTGGGAGTTAGAACGGAATACACCCTAAACTTAGTCGAAAAAGGGTGTTCTGGGGGCAAAATTTCAAAATAGCCCCTGAACCATTGTGTAGCCCTCACGGACAGCTTCCTCTTGACAAATAGGACTTGTGACAACTGACGAAATGTCATTCAAACCTGTAGATTGGGAGTTAGAGCCGAATACGCCATAAACTTAGTCGAAAAAGGGCGTTCGGGGGTGAAAATTTAAAATAGCCCCCAAACCATCGTGTGGCCCTCACAGACAGCTTTCCCTTGACAAATAGGACTTGTGACAACTGACGGAATGTAATTCGGACCTGTAGGTTGGGAGTTAGAGATGAATACGCCCTAAACTTAGTCGAAAAAGAGCATTTTGAAAGCAAAAATTCAAAACAGCCCCCAAACCACCGTGTGGCTCTCACGGACTGCTTTTCCATGACAGTTATGACCTATGACAATAGACAGAATGTAATTAGGACCCGTAAGTTGGGAGTTAGAGTCGAATACACCTTAAACTTACTTGGAAAACGGTGTTTCGGGGGCAAAAATTCAAAATAACCCCCGAACCACCATGTGGCTCTCACGGACTACTCCCCCATGACAATTACAACCCGTGACAACTGATGAAATGTAATTAGGACCCGTAGGCTTGGAGTTTGAGCCGAAAATGCCTTACACTTAGTCGAAAAACTAGCAACACTTAGTTTAAAGAGCGATAACTTTATGAAAATAATATCTACATATTCTAATAATTGCCTTTATATAATTATAGGATAAAGAAATTACATATTAGATTGTTTGTGCAGTTGGTTGGAATAAATATTGCATGATACATATATATATATATATATATACTTTCTTTTATTTTCAAGAAGACATTTCTCGATTGTTCTACCTTAAATGCATGTTAGAACATGTTCTCTATGGCTGACTGGATTAATATTTTGTAACCAATTCTAATGTTTTGTTTTTTGTTTTTTTTTTTTAGATGGCTTTGTTGCGTGGACTAGTGGATAATCCATATTGGTGTATGGAGAAGAATTTTCACCTTTGTATAGAGCTAATATAATACTTTTTTTGTCCTCAGCTTTTGTGTAGCTCACCATTACTGATACAAAAAACTTTTGCCAATCAATAGATAATGGCTACCGTGGTACATAGATCACCTTCTGTCGTGGTACATATATGACCTTTTGTCATGGTCTATAGAAAAAATTTTGTCGTGGTATATAGATCATCTTCTGTTGTGGTACATATATATGACCATTTGTCGGCATACACATATGACCTTTTGTCATGGTCTATAGAAAAACTTTTGTCGTGGTATATAGATCATCTTCGGTCGTGGTACATATATATGACCATTTGTCGGCGTACATATACGACCTTTTGTCATGGTCTATAGAAAAACTTTTGTCGTGGTACATATATCACCTTTTGTCGTGGTACAGATTACAATGGTAATTTGTACCATACCAAATGGTAATTTCGCTTGGTAGTAAATATATTTTTTGTATACGGAGGACTTTTTGATTTTTGTATGATATATTTTGTATGGAATTATTATTTTAGTTTAGACAATAGTTGGTTTGTATGGACTTTGACATTTAAAGTTATTTATTTTTTGTATATGGATGCAACTTGTGGAATGATTGATAATACGTATCATTTTGCTTATATACGTATTACAGGTTGTATGGAATATAGACAAGTTGTGGAGAAATTATAATTTTGCAATAAAATATAATATCATATTTTTGGCGACTAAACAATTAGTAGCTAAAAGAAATTGGGAAAATACTTTGAGCAGCTAAAAGTTTTGTAGTAAAAAAAAAAGACATTTGGCAACTAAAAGTTTTGTAGCCAAAAGAAAATCAAACATTCTTGTTCAAAAAAAAAAAAGAAAATCAAACATTTGGCGACTAAAATATTTCGTAGCTAAAAACAAAAGTTAAAGAATAAAAACACTTTTGCCAACTAAAAATTTAGTAGCCAAAATGTGGGACTTTAGGCAACCAAATATTTAGTAGCGAAAACAAGACCTCTTTGCCAACTAAAATTTTAGTAGCAAAAAATGTGGGACTTTAGGGGACCAAATATTTAGTAGCCAAAACAAGAACTCTTTGCCGACTAAAATTTTAGTAGCCAAACATGTGGGACTTTAGGCGACCAAATTTTTAGTAGCCAAAACAAGAACTCTTTGCCGACTTAAAATTTTAGTAGCTAAAAATGTGGGACTTTAGGCGACTAAAAGTTTGGTCGCCAAAAATGTACTAATTTGATTTAATGTCCAACCTTTTGGCGACTAAAAATTTAGTCAAAAATTGAATACATTTGGCGACTAAAAAAAATTTAGTCGCTAATGACCTTTACCGACAATTCTTCGATGACTACTTTTGCGACCAAATAATTTAGTCGCTGAAACCCTTTGGTGACTAAAAATTAACTTTTGGCGACTAAAAATTTAGTCGCCAAAAGTGAAAATTCATGTAGTGCTTCGAATATCAAGTTGTTGATTTTGTAAATGTTTGTTAGCATGCCTCTTTAGATGACTAGTATCCCTTGCAGATGCAGCACTAAGTAAATGTGCTTAATATTTACATTTTGCTTTAAATGCAATTGTACTATCAAGATTATTTATAGAACAATTCTTCGATGACTACTTTTGCGACCAAATAATTTAGTCGCTGAAACCCTTTGGTGACTAAAAATTAACTTTTGGCGACTAAAAATTTAGTCGCCAAAAGTGAAAATTCATGTAGTGCTTCGAATATCAAGTTGTTGATTTTGTAAATGTTTGTTAGCATGCCTTTTTAGATGACTAGTATCCCTTGCAGATGCAGCACTAAGTAAATGTGCGTAATATTTACATTTTGCTTTAAATGCAATTGTACTATCAGGATTATTTATAGATATTTTTTCAAAATGTTTCCAAACACTACTACTTCTGCTCCTAGATGATGATCCAACTGTTGGAAGAGAGATATTAGAAAGAGAATCAACAAATTCATGTTGTGTAGTTTATGTGTCAACATCGACATAAACATTAGGCATATTAAGATCTATAGTAATGTAAGTAAAATAATATATAAGAATTAACAATTAATTTAAATAATGTGCAAATACAATCAGTAAAAAATAATAATTAATATATGTGCACAAATAATTAATGAAAAATGAGTAGCTAATAAATTTAATTAAACTAATTAATGTTACCGACTGGCGAATGTAATACAGAAGTTTGCTTCTTCTGATAAAAGCTTTTTGTTGCACAATTGTAATTGTCACTTAGGGATGACACTTTAAAATTAATTGAGAGTTGCGAGATATTGAGAGTTTAAGAGAGAGAGGGAGAGAGAATTATTTGTTGTGAAATTTATTTTGGAAAATGAAAGATATTTATAGTAATTTTAATTATGACCGTTTGTATATATATTACCGTTTGAGTTGAGTGATTGATGAGGAGATGCAACGGACTAATTTCAACTAGGCTAGTAAGGGCGGTCGTTGTTTTTGACCAAAAGAATGGAGATAGAGATATCAAAATATTGCCATGCCATGCTCTAGTCTTTTCAGGGATTCTCTCTTGTATATACAAATATTTTTTAACTTTGCCTCCACTCTCTCTTTTATGTTCTCTGTCAGTCTAACAGTCTATCCTGATGATAAATAAATATATTTTCAATAAATTAACTTTGCCTCCACTTTCTCTCTCTCCCTCCTCTCGTGTCTTGTTTCGGCTGCTAGCAGCCAGCCAGCCACAACACAGTGATAGTGTGCAATGACAGTGGGTCACACAAGCTTTGTCATTCTTGGGTCTATCAGGGTCTGTCAAATTTAACAATATTAGTCTTTGAAAATAACAATTAAGAATGACTATTGAATTTAATATTGTAGTATTTGAAATATGAATCACTTGATTTTACTTCCAAATGAGAAAAGAAAAGAGAACAACTTCATTATGCTAAACATGCATGATGCATGCTCAGCTTTATAGCATGGTATAGTAACACTCTCTCTCTCTCTCTCTCTCTCTCTCTCTCTCTCTCTCTCTCTCTCTTCTCTGACCAAAGAAAAAAACATTATTAGTTTGATTTTAAATTAATAAATTATTATTATTTTTTGTTTTATTTTTAAATTATTAATATTATTTATTTAATTATATAATTTTTTATTTTTACAAGATTAATTTTTATTTAATTATTTTAATTTAATTTTTATAAGATCAATATTTTTATTTATTTTATTATTTTAATTTTTTAATTATTTAACCATTATGAGTTGTTTTTTATTTTTATTTTTTGAAATTTGACCATTAGTAGAGAGATGGCCGAATAGGTGGGCCGGGCCGCCTGTAGGGCTCAAATTTTTTTTGGGCTGGGCCCCAAGTGAAGGGCCCAGGCCCAAGGTATTGGACTGGGCTCGGGCCCGGGCTTAACCGGGCTAAAACAAGTCGGGCCCATATCGGGCTTCGGGCTGCCCACGGGCCTCGGGCCATTGTTACATCCCTATTGACAGAACTCCATTTCACACATCATCATTGACTGGTCGCATGTGGATGGAGGAGATGCTTCGTGGTCAGAATGAAGCATTTCAGCGAAATTTTTGGATGTCAAAGGATGTGTTCTTATTGTTGTGCAAGACATTAGTTGAGGATTTTGAACTCCCACTACCATAGCGTCCCCATGGTGTATACGTAGTTGAAAGTGTCGGCATGTTCATATTCATGTTGTGGGGCTTCTTCGAGTTGGGATATTGAAGACCGTTTCCAACACTTGAGGGAAACAATATAACGTCATGTAATGCGAGTTCTTAAAGCAATGAAGTTGTTTACAATTGCACACTGTCGACCGACGAGGTCACAACACAGCAGACATCCGTGCTTAGAGTCCTGACGAAAATATTTGCCATTCAGAGTGAGTTTAATTAGTTACCGAACATTTTCAATCACATTCAGAAAACAAGGGATTTCAATTTTCGGGTTAATGTGTTCGTTCTTGTCACTTATGCAATTGCTTTGTGTGCTTGCACAAGACTGTATTGGCACGCTAAACGGCACACACGTAGAGGCATATCTCCCGTCGTGAGAGGCAGCGCCATATTTTGGTTGTAAAGGATAGCATACGCAAAACTTTTATCTCTTGCGGATAGGAGGGTAGTATGCACGACGGTAGAGTTTTTAACGAAGTAATACAGGACCCGGGCAAACAATTTCCCAACCTAGAGGAAGGTTAGCTGAACAAGGGATATTCAATGTTGTTGTTAGTTGTGTGCATTTGATATTTATAATGATGTTCCTAATGCAAAATTATCTAATTACAACCAGGAAAATATTACCTTGTTGATGTGAGGCACAAGAACCAAAAAGGCTTTTCGGCATCGTTTAAGGGATGCCGATACTACCAGGAAGAGTTTCATGCTACTGGACGGGCAAGAAATGCAAACGAAGTTTTCAACACGGTGCACTCCTTTTTACGGAATGAAATTGAACGTACGTTCGGAGTATGGAAAGCACGATGGGGATTCCTACATAACATGCATTGATATGATTTTGGGAAAGTGCATGTGCCATTGATTGGGGCTTCAATGGCACTGCATAATTTTATACGTCGTAACTTCAACGATGATGAAGCGTTCAATAGGGTTACGAATGCAGAGAATTTTACCTTCAACAACATGCCAAATGTTGCGGGTGTTTGTGATGACGATGATGGTAAACCAGAGGGCGATGATGACGTACATATGAACGAAGTGAGGAAATCAATTCAGAATAAGTTGGTGTGACATCGGCGTCAACTCAGCCTGTAACCCTGTTCGGTCTTTACGAATTGATGGTAAATGATATGAATGTGCCAAACTGTTGAAATTGTTATAAAAACTGTCTGGTTATGTTTGTAAACCTCTGTTGTTGTCAACGACGTTTACCAGATTTTAACGTGGAAATGAAAAAATAGTAAGAACGCAATTTGTTCACAAAAAATACTAAATTGAACATTACATTGAATAATTTAATAATTTTACTGTGATTTGTAGTGCAACATTGAATATTAAAATATTTGTAATTATTTTATTATTTGAACTGCGTAACATTGAAAAATTTTAATATTACATTCCAAAAAAATGTTCAAACACAACATGGGTAAAAAAGTAAATTTCCAAAGCTGGGTAAGGGCATTTTGGTCATTTTAATGTGATTTAACACCATAAACAAATATTAAACTAAAAAATCACAAGTCAATTTTTTACCAACTTCTCAAATTACTTTCCAAAAAAATTAAAAGCCAACTTTTTACTAACTTCCCAAAACACCCCTATATATGTGATATTTTTTTTCCTTCTTCTATTATACTTCTCTAATTTTTTTTTGTTTTATGATAGAAACTAATTATTTTTGCAATTTTTATTTATTTATTTTCCTTACGAGCCTATCAAAGCTCTACTCACATTTGCCACATATGTGTCCTAATTAGGGTGCACGGTGTGGTTTGGACAGTTTGAGAGTAAAGTTATAAATTGAATGACGGA